GTAGGTATTTTCCAAGAAAACAGATCTATATTTTAACTTTCATTATATGGATGATGTCATCAGAATTATTTCATATTCACTCATCATTTTATGGAAAGGTGTTTTTAAAGTGCCCTACTACAATCCCTTTTCAATTTGTCTTTTTGCACTTTTTTACCTGAAGAGAAGGTCACCAGTAAATTTGTGGAGCTGACCAGGCTTTCAAAGGCTATATCCATGACTCTAGAACAAAGGAGATTGTAGCCAAATCCCTGGTCTGCTAATGCTCTGGAAGAAACATCCAAAATGCATAATCTGATAATAAATATATATATTTAAAAAATCCCTTAGAACAAGTGTAGATGATTATTCCTCACTGCCTGGATCATTATAATGCTGAATAATACTTTGTATTGTCTTTATACTAATATATCTCATATTAAAGGACTTTAAATATTGCATATTGATTGAAATCACTGTTAAATCTCATAAAATAAAATAAATTAAATGATCAACTTCAAATAATTAAATATGTCTATAGAGCAGGAAAAAGTTATTTTTGTAGATTATGAATTATTAAGGTTTAGTAAAAAATATGAGGAATAAAAATACTGTGTAGAGCCAGAATAATTTGTATATAAATTATATCACTTTGACAATTTGACATTAATTTTTTCTTGTCTAAAAGAAAAGCGTGGTTTAAAAATCATTTTATGGACTCTTAAGGCTAGAAGAAACTAAACATATAATGTCATCACACCTCCCATGTAAAAAAAGGTAATAGATTTTTATATGTGATCTTTCCATCAGGTTTGTACTTCTCATTTACCTAAACTATCGCATAGGAATGTTTCAGGCAGCTGAGCTTAATACAGAAAATTGAATGACAACAGAACAAACTTATCTCTAGTTTAACTGAGATTTTCAATAATCATGTTTAGCATTCCATTTTGAATGCATCTAGTTTCAGCTCCCAGCCACATGACCTCATTATATACACATAAATGAGATTTAATACTGCTACTTTCTGAAAATTCATCATGCAAACAATCAGTGAGAAAATTCATGTGACTTTCTCTTTGATAAATTATCTAGAAAAACAATGATTTTCATTTTAGCTGGATTTTGACAAAACATGCATCAAGGTTTTTTCTATGTTCAAAGGGATGAAGTAAATATGATAAAAAGGTTTTTTGTCCCATTCTAAAATCAGTGTCAGGGGAAGTGACGTTTTCACTAAATAGTCTCTAGACCAGATGCTTAACTTTAAAAGAGTAAAGATTAGTGAGATAATTAAAAATGACTAGTGGAGAACCTGAGATATTTTAGAAACATTTGCACTGTTATACATATTTGAATATCGTATTTGAACTCCTACAAAATAAGCCTTTATTATTGATCAGTATCTTCAGAGTGCTGACATCAAAACTGAAGATCCTTGTAATGAGCTCATTATCATGCTGTATTTATAAGAACACCACCTGGTTTTTCTCTGTGTATTAGTTATGCATCAAAAGATCAGTTTGCAGGCTTACCCACTGTGTCATATTTGGATTCTATTTTCCCATAATAGAATAGTGATATTTCCAGGACATCCACTGCATTCAAAAAACGGTTTTATAAGTGACTTAATTTAAGGTGTTCCCTAGTCAAAGAGGAAAAAGAAAAAAAAGCTGGCTTACAAATTAATCTCTTCCCGCAACAGTGAGAAAAGACATTTCTAAAACAATACCAAAACTAGAAGTTACTCAGCTCTAAGCTTGTGATATTGGAAACAGGTTTAGCCTAAGAGGATCACATTGCTGAGTACTTGACAGGACTGCTCTGAGCGAATGGAAAGCAGTGTTGTCAACCAGAAACAGCAAAATCTATCAAAAAAACTTCTGCTTCAAGGATGGAGTTTTAGTGACTAAGGTACCTGTTCACAAACTTACACTGGACTTCCAAATATCACAAACTTACAGAAAGAGCTCTGTAACTTCATCCAGCAGTCTTTTGGCCTCCCTATGTGATGACACTCATTAACTCTTTCTACCATATTTACTTTTCATTAGACTTTTCAAATGAAAGAGGAAAAAAGGCAACTAATTCTTCAGTAATGTCCTTTCTTTATTCCAGGATATGAACTTAGACATTTAACTTAACAGAACATTTGTTTCTTGATTTCATTGACATAATATGTTTTAAAAATAAGGCAATCAGAAATTTTTAGCACAAATAAATTAAAAATTACACAATTAATGCAAATGAAGACTACATATGAACTCTAAACACACAAAAGAAAGCAGGATTACAAAAATATTTTATTGGCTTGTTTATCAAATACCAGTCACAAATGTAAACAAACAAAAGCACTTTTGTAAAGACGGAAGATATAAATGTAAATATCAGCGTAAATGGTGGAATAATTCTCCAAAACCAAAATATATTTCAAAATATATTCCAAAATATATTTTGAATATATTTTCAAAATAACATCATTGTAATTCAACCGGAATTCAGATACAAATTCCTAATTCAACATGCAAAGTAGCTCTGGATGAATGGCTCTGTATAAACAGACTTTAGTACCTGCCAGTGCAATGATCAAATAGTTTAAGGTCTGACAGTGAAAAGTTCATATTCTATTCCTTTAGTAAAATATATATATATATATATATGTACAAAATAGAAATAATTTATATCATAATTATTCTGCAAGATCTAGAGAGAGAGAGAGAGACTTCACTTGCTACCACAAGTGTATCAAAGCTTTTGTTGATGAATGTGCACCCTTACATTGATGAATTTCTTCCTCACCCATTGCTTTAGTTTCTCTAATGTCTTTGCAAGTCTGATATTTGGGTAGCCATGCTCTAAAGGGAATGAGCATCATAAAGAGGTGACACTCTTCATCCTGGAAGAAGCGTGAGGATTTCAACAGATGACTGTGGGGTGAAAAGAATAGTTTTAACATTCTGGATGTTCTCTACGAGAGATAAGTGTGTAAGTGTGCTGCTTTATAATGACATTCCCTGGAAGCAGTTAGATTTATAGAAGTAGTCCCTGTCTGCCTCTCCATAGAATGACTTCTCTTTGCAGTGTTGTTTATTTTGAATGGTGATCTGTAAAGCTCCTGTACAGAGAAGAGAAATCAGCATATTCCAAGGTGCCACCAAAATACAAAATCACTTAGAATGCTGTAATATGCAGTTACAAACTTGGAATATTATAAAGGAATGCCATGGGACAAATTTTCAAGTTTAGCAAATACAAACTTAATAATTTTAAAGGATTTAGAGGCTCATGTGCTCAGATCTTGCCAAGTAGATTTAAACAAAATTAAATTTTCAGTTAGGTACTTGTAGATTTGTCATTAAGAAACATTCATTCAGATGATGCCCAACCATTCTGACATTTGACTGCAATGAAAATTCAATCTAGGAAAAATAAAAAAAAAAATATCTACAAGGACTTTTTGCTTCCTTATTTCCACACACATGGGAAATTCTGATTGATGCTTCCTTACGTCTAAGGCCTAAAATAGTCTATGGCCATGAATGTTCATGTCCTCTACACCCTTATAACATCTTTCTTTTATAATTCATTCACTTCCTTATTAGTTTCTCCCATAATTTCCTCACTTTTCCTCAAATGCAAAAGAAAGAAAAAATTGTATATTTGCTCACACATTCTTCACTTTTATGTCAAGTGCATATGCATACATGTATTTCTTCTCTTACTCTTTTTCTTTCACTATAAAAAGAAAAAAAATCACTATAAAAATATTTCATTTTCCCAATGCAAAATATTTAGACTCTTTCCACACTGAAATTCTGTCAAAAAGTTTTGTTGAAACTGACACATTTTTTCACATGCTAAAATTTCATCTAAATGGCTTCTTCTTTTCATAGAAAGCTGATCAGTTAAAACAAAATCTCAAAACTTCAAAACCGAAAGGAAAAATAAAACCTCCACCAAAATCCACCATGTCTAATATTTCCCATCAGATTTGCTCTCTCTTGAATATGCTTTCTGTTTCTGAGATCATAAATTTTTCATTCTGCCTTACACTTGCCCCACTGCAGCAGGGTGGACAGCAGGACTATTATTCCCCAGCATAAGAGCTTTACATTCTGTAAACACAAAACCAGGCAATGTGCATAGACACAAAATCTCCTTATATTTTTTCTATTAGCAGTGGAAGCACTGAAGTTCTTACATAGTCACTAGCAAATGTAATAAGATTTTCTGGTATATTTTAACATTTGAATTCTTCCAGTGGCCCCGTCATCTCCATTAATAGAACATGTTGGGTTTCTATGAGCAGATATGTCTTAGAAAATCAAATCACAAACACTTCTGGTGTATAAATATTTGGTAATCTCTACCATTTCTGTGTTAGGTCTCTGTGCAGTATTGTTTTGGCTTAGGCCACTTCATCCTCCCCCAATTTATTTACAGTATGGTTAGATGATTTTCACAGAAGAGGATGTGACTATTCCACCTCTCTTTTGTTGTTTGTTTTGGAAACAAATAGAAATTTTAAAAGTTTGGCGTGTCCAACCAAGGTAAGTCAGTTGGCTTTGGTGTTGAAGAACCATCCCTGGCACTACTTTGTTGATTATTAACCTCTCAATCAACCTCCCGGGACACTCAGACACTTATTCTTTGATATTTCAGAGACTTCATTAGATATTTTAGTTCACTTACTCTGATGTTTGCAATTAGTTATTTTCAAGCCTGCTCACTGAAACACCATCAGGGCAGTCTTACAAAGAGGCAGTGCATAGGTAAATAAATAACAGCTTAGCTGAACATGTTAATCACAGGAAGAGGAAGCAGAGAAAGGAAAAGTAGCTCAGAGGAAATGTTGGTCTACTGCAAAAAAATATGCTTTTGAATGAAAAATACTGAGTAATATAAACAGATTTTAGGTTTTGTCTAAGTTTTTTCACAGGTATTTGCACTTCCACAGCCAAAGTTTGGAATAAATATTTTTGTAGATTACTGTATGCAGTTGAAGTAACAAAAAAATATACGTGCTGTGTTAGTCCTATTTCTTCAGTATTGACTTGTTACCCTAAAAGACAACAAAAAAAAAAAAAAAAAAAAAAAAAAAAAAAAAAAAAAGAAATTATAAAATTACAGCAAGTAGTTGCACATTTTCTCAGCCTTTTTTTACAGAATATGAGCAAGTTATATAAATGTACAGATCATTCTGGATCTATGCAATAAAATTGGAAAAGTCATAATAAAGACGAGCATTGTGTTTCATCATAATGGAAAATAATACCTCATCAGTAACCTTTAAAGCAGAAAACAAGCAGTATTTCATAAAGAACTTTAAAGATTACTTTTAAGGTGTGTACTCCTCACTGTAAGTTAGATTCCAGCTAGTGCCCATATAAGCCAAAGGAAAAGAGATCTGCATTGCCCCAAGCAAGGAGAATTTGATTCCTGTATTTCAAAACACTTTCACCTCATATATTAAACTTACTATTTCTTTTGGTTTATTTTGTTTAAGCACACTCAGGATGCCTAAAGCTTTTGAGCTTTATATATTTATACATTAACCTTCAAATAAATAAATACCATCATGGAAAATGCATTCAGGCTTACAAGAATGTTATTTCATCTGACTTAAAACATTTTATAAGAATTTATTTTCCTTCTTCTTTCTCTCCTGCTTGGATATATTTACTGTTTATTATCAGGTACTATAAATAATATTGAACAAATCAGGCTGTTAAAAGTTGACATATACAAATATGAGGACATGTGTTTTTTTTAATCTGGTCCCTGATTCTCAGTCATTAAGATTCTTAGGGTCACTAGCTCCAAGGAAATACTCTAATTTTAAGATGCAAAATTGACATTTATTATAACATCTTAAATATAATCTGAACATTTAAATTATTTCCTTAATATCAAATAGCTGCAACAAATATAATATCACATTTCTGTCAGAGAAAAAAATTAATTTCAAGTACAGTTTTTTTTTATTTCCCATCTGTCAGCAATAAATTCAGGATTTCAGCTGCACAGACTGCAAGAAACACAATAAGTCCAATCTTCCACTGTAGCCTGGACATGTTCAGATAGAAAAGTAAATGTAAAACATATGAAAATTATACACCATTTTCACATATTCTGCATCTTAGCTACCTGAAGAACTTTAATGAAGAGAAAGAGGTGCATTTTTGGTCTCAGGGCGGAGTGAATTGCATCAGAGGAATCTGCTTCTCTGTAGTGATTACAAAAGTAACATCACTAAATACCACTAGGGTGGGTATCAACAGAGCAGATGCCAAGTTAGGTAAAGTAAATTCCACTTGGGAGATAACAGATAAATTTACATCCAGAGTAAAAATGTGAACTTCTACCAAAAGTCTTCATGATATAAAATTTAACCTTTCTACAGTTATAATAGAATGAAGTAGAAATACTGTTATCCAATATATTAATCATTATTGCTGATGAATCTCTGGAATTGATGTATAAAAATGGGTCTGCAATGAGCCTAAAAAAACCCACTCAGGATCTTCCTCTATTATGTGCATTTTTCTCTAATTTTAATTTTGTGAAATGAGGAATTAGTAGAGAAAATCATAGTTATATCATCAGAAATTCTAATCTAAGCTAGTTGGGACAGAGACAAACCTCAATGGAGAGTACTACCAAAAGTCTAGATGATGTTCATTAAATCCATTTTCTTTGTCTCCTTTCCCTTCTATTGATAGCAACTCTGTCTAGAAAAAATGTCTGGAATTAAAGAAGAAAATATCTCTGTTAGAAAAACGTCCTGTAAATTAAGATTGGTTTTGTTATATATACCAGTGAAGGAGAATAGATGTGCTTATTTCTGTGTTTTAGTTTATACTTCTTTGAGAACTTACCTGCCTGAATCTCATCCTAGCTGCAATTTGTTTTATATGTCACAGATTCATCAGTCTTAAGGATTATATTTTTAATTGAAAATATCTTAGCAGAAACAGATTTTTTGTTGTAAAACTCAAACCTCATGCTTGCTACTGTGCTGAATTTTCAGATGGCAAAATTCATTGCGTAAGTGTATGTGAGGTATATGAAATGCCAATATTTCCCATATGTAGAGTCTACCCACTTTCTCTATTATGTTCACATATGGTTAAGATCTATACAAGCTAAAAAAGCATCCTGTAAGCATCTCAATGGAAATTGCAGTATCTAACATTCAACAGCACTGGACTAACAGGACTCCCAGATCAGAACTGATCTGAATACAACCTCTGCCCCAAAATCAGATAAATAAACCATAGTAGGGTTAAAAATTTACATCTGTTTCAAGCTCCAGTCTGTTGAAAATTGTAGCCTTCTTCACTTGCTAAAAAAGTTTTCAGCATTGTGTTGAGTTTTCTGATGAATGTTGTTTCAGATGTGAATTTTCCATAACTCTATAAATAATGTATTTATCCTCCATCAAGTTAATTGTCCATTTTCTAGTTTCAATCTCTATTACTAATTGAAAAATTTATTTTAATTCCCACACCTCCGTTTAACTTCCAATTTAGGTTCCAATATGGGAACGTAGCTGAAAAATATCTTAAATTCTCAATTTAGATTGAGAAATCAGTCATGACAGTCCAAAAAGAATTTTTTGGATGATAACAACATTTTTGTTTGTTCCAAACAGAAATAAAATATTTATAGGCTTAAAAACATACAAAAAGAAAAAAACTCTCAAACTACCATCATGGGCAACTCTGTATTAGTAAGTTTGTGGAAGACATGCAAAAAAATACAGCATAGGTAATTTACATATGCTTTCCTAGAGTTTTTTTTTCAGAATGAAGACTATGAGAATCTCAAAATAATTTTGTTATAACAGAATAAATAATAAAAAAATAAATAATTTTTGTTATAACAGAAATCTGACTTAATGCTTTGTTATTTGAAAATTCTCTTAGCCTCTTTCTTGTTAAAATCAAAATAACTTCTAATTATTTAGCCTTGTGCATTTCTTGTTTTTAAGCTTATTTTCAGTAATTTCAGTTGGTAATTCATCTGGATTCTCTTGGTTTATGTTGTTACCATTAAAACTTAACATCAATGCATTGCAATGGTGCTACTATATTTCATTCAAAAAAGTTTTCTACTAGCATTAGTTTATGCTGTCCTAAAATAGCTAAAGGAGTTAAAGCTTGAATAAGAGTTGATGCTGATTATAACTTTTTTAGCCCACGTATGTGTCTTAACTGCTTATATATCAGTCTTCTGAATCATATCTTTTACATATGCCTCTAAATAGTACATTTAAGGATGGTTCAGTCTACCTACATGAAGCTTTCCTTAATGCAGACCAGCTGCTGTGCTGTTCATACCTTCTGGTTGAAAGGGTATATCCTTGTGACTCACTGTAAGACATCTTCCTGCTGTATCAAGGCCTCTTTCTCAGGACCATTCACAAGAACACTTACAAAGTCTTTATTTCTTTTTGTTTTTTTTTTCCTTTAAGATTTGTTGTTTTTGCTTCTCAGCTTAAATTTATACTTGAAGTTTTATCATCAGGGTCCATCTTTTTTTCCAGCTTGTACAGTACTCACCTCGTGTCCTTTCATGATAAGAGCTTTCAGGCACTTAGAGATAATGTCTCTTTTTAGCTGCCAGCAGAACATTTTCTATGTTAAATGTAATTTTTAGACACTGCATAACAAGAGGAGTTCTCAGTTACATTTTGTTCTTCTAGCCTGTTATTAATGAGCAATTATTCCCTTGCTATAGGATACAAAGGATAGAACACTCTTGCAGCAGACAAAAAATAAAATCTTTTTGAAAGCATATAATACTTAGTGAGGTCTGTCTTTGTAGGAGCTGTTATATATATAGGAACTTCACAAATATTACCTTTGTAAGGTTGCAAAATTATCAAGGTCTTTTTGTCCTTTACTAAATTGTGCATATACTCATTTACCAAGGTTGTGGCAAAACCTGAGCCTGACTTGACTTCTGCAGTCCTGAAAAGAACAGCTTCTTGAGCCTGAAACAGTTGGTCATAGGTCCATCATAACAAGGTATGACCTTGTCCAGTTGTAGAACAGATATATTTTCCTTTTGTAAATGACACAAAAATATTCAGCTTTGGATGGCCCATTTATAGAAGTTGTGCAGTTTCATCTTCAGGTGGCCTGAAAACTCTCTCTGGATTTGTTTTGCTCTCCAGAAATATACCTAAAATGGACAGTGCTGGTCATCTGTCTTTGGTCTGATTTTTTAGATAGAGGCACCAGGCAACTGTATTTCATGTGCTATGTAACCAAGTTAAAATTAAACACATATTTATATTTAATTTCATTTTCCTACATAACTTCAGCTTTTATTGACATGACATTCTTTTTCCATGAAAAAGAATGCCTACGTTTGCTATCATGAATTCCAATTCAATTAATTAAAGGTATTAATTGAAATTAAAGTTTTACATATTTCTTTGGTCATTCATTCCCCATTCAGGTGTTTTTATTTCCATAATAGGAATACCTAAAAAAGGATTTTAACCATAAGAAAAAAAAATATCATGCACAAGAAAATGTTTTCCACACATCTGAAATGTATGCACAAGAAAATGTTTTCCACTAATACTGAAACTGAGGAAAAAAACAAAAAAAAAAAAAACCAAAAAAAAAAAACCAAACAAAACCAAAAACCATAAAGCAAAGCATAAGGAAATTTTATCTTATTATGTGTAATTTCTAAATATACTTTTAAATTCCACCACAGTAAGTGTTACCTCTCTGTTACCATGCCTGCCTTGCTTTATTTAAATGCAGCAAATTACCTCACTCATTCAAAATGGATTTCATCTTTTCCTTGTATTTTTTGAACTTAAAACATTTAGTATTTGTAAATGATGAATGAATTTAATTTGATTATGAATTTTTCTCCTAAAAATGGCTGATTTCTCCGCTGCATTTATATTTCATAAGTCTTTTTTGAAAATAAGTAATGGTTCTACTTTTTAATGTGGTATATCACTAAGCCAAAATTCTTATAGTAAAATAAAAATGGGATGGAGATAAAGTTAATTAATATTTTGGAGCTAATTAT